ACAAGGAGTGTTTCACTACTGTTACCAGTTTCTTTGAATTGTTAACCCGAATGTGATCCTAGCTGTGGTTCATGACTTAAATACATATAGCTATCCAACAGTTTACTACTTGCAATTCAGATTTGTGTGCAGTTTTATTCTCATGAACCTGAACTTCAACCATTCATTGAGATTTTCTGTATTTTTAAGTTTTATTTTTTTTAAAAAAATGAATTTATAGGTTACCAGTTTCTTTGAATTGTTAACCCGAATGTGATCCTAGCTGTGGTTCATGACTTAAATACATATAGCTATCCAACAGTTTACTACTTGCAATTCAGATTTGTGTGCAGTTTTATTCTCATGAACCTGAACTTCAACCATTCATTGAGATTTTCTGTATTTTTAAGTTTTATTTTTTTTAAAAAAATGAATTTATAGGAAAGATCCAGTGCCTTCCATACATTTAAGAAGAAATCAAAAGAGGATATAAACTGCACAGAGAATTATGAGTCAACTGGCTTTATCTACCCTTATAATGACCTCCTGGTTTGGGCAGTATTAATGAAAAGGCAGAAGATGGCAATGTTCTTCTGGCAGCATGGAGAGGAAGCCATGGTCAAAGCTGTTGTGGCTTGTAAACTCTACAGGGCAATGGCACATGAAGCCAAACAGAGCAACATGGTGGATGACACTTCAGAAGAGCTCAAGAAGTATTCAAAGTATGAGTTTTTGCTTCACCACAGTTAATAAAGTTTTGCAGTGTTAAGAATGGTTAGATATTTTCCTAATCCACTAAGAGTTTGAAGGGTTAGTGATGCCATGGGCTATGGAGTATAAAAGAAATACTTCCAGCTACTCATTGTTGATATTATTTAATGGATCTATGCACTGATGTGCAGTCTGGTTGAGAAAGCCATTTGCATATTACCTAGTTGTATGTTTGAAAATTAAAATATAATTCTGCTAAATGGTCAAGATAATGACTGGAATTTCCCTTACACCTTCCCTTCTAGCTCAGCTTGTTAAAAAGCCATAAGGCACATAGGTGTAGGACTTTTCAAACCTTTAACAAATAGTAATGAGCAAAATAAAATCAGTGCTTAAATCCTGCTCTATGTAAGACAAATGAAAAATGTGTGTTGAAACAACTGACTGCATGAAAAGTGAAGTAGACCAACAAAATTTTCAAGTTTTCAGTTAGTGTTTTCTGGTAGTTTTTCTTGTTAATAATATGGTTTATGCTTTGTAGACTTCATGCGTAAGAGTCAGGTGCAATAAAATGTATTGTCTTCATCTGTATGCAGTTCCAAAGCTTAATTTAAAGGAAGTTGTGTCCCTTCCTTGAAGAATCTTCCCTGTGTAGATGTAGAATCTAAAAGAAGAGGCTTTTGCAGCTGCCTGCAATGCTTGCCCACAGTGGTGATGAATCTGTTGTTGAAGCAAATACACAGGATATCGTTGGGTCCATTTTGATTCACTGAGTGAGATTAAGAACAAAACAAACAAATAGAAAACAGGATCGCCTTAACCTTGCCATTAGGACTAAATAGTTAGGATTACTCCCCAGGTTGCTTTTCACTAGGTATGTTGATAAAACAATGAGAAAAATGGGAGAAGGCATGCTTACTGAGATTGATAGCTGAACTTTACCAGAGTTATTCATACCAAATTCTTTGCAGCAGTGATTCTGAGTTTGTACTGATCCCTGTTATATTGACTGTTAATTCCTTTCTGCTTTAGGGAATTTGGGCAGCTTGCCTTAGATGTACTGGACAGAGCATTCAAACAAAATGAGCAGATGGCCATGAAGTTGCTGACCTATGAACTGAAAAACTGGAGCAACTCAACTTGCTTAAAACTAGCAGTGTCTGTGGGGCTGCGGCCTTTCATATCCCATACATGCACACAGATGCTGCTGACTGATATGTGGATGGGACGCCTGAAGATGAGGAAGAACTCCTGGTTTAAGGTGACATTACTCTAGCTTTTTCTGAGCATCTAGATGCTGTTTAGATGCTTTATACATGTTTTTGTAGTTATGAACATGGCTAATGCAGGTTCAGACAGCTGTGCTTAAGCACGTATTGGAACATGCACATCAGGAAGAAAAAGAAAAGACAGAGAAGGAAAATAGTACTTACTTCTGTTTTACTTTTTTGCAAAAGTAGCTGTGGGGTGACATTAGGAAGGTGGGATTTTTTTGCGGTTCGCATTCTCTCATCACCTTTCAGTCCGTCCTCACCTGCTCTTGCTTCCCTACCATTGCTTTTTCCCTGACAGAGCTGCTAATGGGAGGAATGCTGTCCAGAGATAGAGAGCAGTATCAAATGCATTCCTAGATACCATGACACTCTTCAAAGGCACAAAGCAGTCAAGAGCAACACACTTCTTCAGAGGCTGTAGGAGTGTGATACAGAAGTTCCCAGCACCAGGGACTCCCTCCCAGGCCAGTGGAATTGCACTGGGTTTTTGCTGACACCAGGCATGGCTGACAGTGGCCTCAGGTCTATGCTATCACTGCTGAATTAATTTCCTGAATCTCGTGTCTCTCCTTTAGGTCATTATGAGTATTCTCCTGCCTCCCACTATCTTGATGCTGGAATTTAAGAGCAAGGCAGAAATGTCTCATGTGCCTCAGTCTCAAGACTTCCACCAGTTCACATGGTATCATGGGGATCAGAGGCCAGCCAGCTCTAAAGATGCTCTGTCTCTGGTTAGTCTGTAATGATCAGTTGTTTGTGGGTCAGAGTCTGTTTATTTACCACAGTATAATTCTGAAGAGTGAGAAGATTGTCAGCAGCTAGAAGTGTTAGAACCAAGTTTTCAGGAAGTAGAGGTTAGCTCCCTGGTTTGCATATGGAGTGAGGTGACCTTGGACAAGTCACCATCTTGGATGTCACTTCTGTACTGGTCATAATGAGAAAATCCTTCTCAACCTCACGAAAGTATATTGAGATTATAATTACCTGTCAATTGTGAAGGTCTTTTAGGGCACAGTCTGTTCAAGCTACAGATAAATACCTATGTAATCTTGTATGCTGGATAATTTAAGAAAGATTTCATATCAAGCACAAAATCACAACTATAAAACTCAATTCTGGTTGCCAAGGCAAGCTGTCCAAAGCAGGGAAACCACAGAACCAAGGCAGTCCAGGACCTATCCTTTCCAACTTTTTTCTCCTGCTCTGCCTGGTCAGTAGCCAATGCCCTGCATCTCAGCAACAGCCTCTCCTCCTGTTTATGGCCTTCCTTCCTTCTTAATTTCTCCGTGTGACCTGAATTACATCGTAACACTTCCATCTTCCTTCCTTGTTGAAAAACAGGGTATCTTACTTCTGTATTCCTTGAGCCTGGCAGAGATGCCACTTAAAGCACAAGAGTTTTGTTTAGTTATCTGAACCAAGTCCTGAAACATACTGCAAGGACCTGTGGTTGTGCAATAGCCCTACCTAGGCCTGTTTGATGAAGGATCTAGCATAAATGAGGTGACATCTTTGCCTTTTAAGATCTAAATTCTCCCAGATTTCTGCTAATCCTTTCTTCTCATTCACCACACCTACCTTTAGCTGAAAATTTCCAAAAATTTTCAGTCTGAGCTGGACATGAGCAGACATGGATAACTTCCATCCAAAAGGGCAAATGTTGCCGAGGTGCTAACCAATGAAAAAAAGATTGTTAAGTGAGAGCTGTCAGGCAACCTTTTTTTCTTTGCTCACCTTACAGCAGACAAGCATTGTAGATTGCTGGTGACCTTCTCAGTTAACTTTCAATTTGTGTGCAATAAAAGAGGGCAGATTGTCTTCGAGGGCTTTTTCAGCAACATGCTAAACTTATCATTGCTGGTAAACCTATGGTGGCCACACTTGTGTTTTCTCTGATGCAGAAAAATGCTCAAAGCTATTTTCTTCTGCCATGCCTGTCTAACATAGTTCAAAAAAGCCTTTTATAGGGTTAGCTATGATACAGACGACAGGCCAATTGTAAATACTTGCACCAGGGCGACCCCTGCAGTCTGGCAGAGGGCAGCAGAGAAATGTACGTAAGTACTTTTCTTATCTTCCTCAATTAGGTCTCCTCCCTTCCTGTGTTAGCAATAAGCTTAACTTTTGATTTTATCTAATAGTGTTATGTAAAAGTCTCAGCTACCATTTGTTCCTAAATACCCTTACATGAAATATTATAGAAAAATATACAGACATTTTCAACAGTATATGTGTGCTGTGTAGAGCATCATACTTACACAATTACGAATTTCAGTGATCTGCTGCACCTGGAAATTGCACTCTTTCATGGGACAAATTCTCTCCTTCAGCTTGGAGGATCTGATAGTAATACACTGGGATGGTTCTGTGTATCGTATTCTCTGGTTTAGCCCTTTTTTTGACTCTCATGTGATAAAAGATCAGTTTTCCCTGATTATTCAAGGAACCATTGTGTAGTAGGGATAAAACATAGCATAATAAACAGTATACTGAAGATGTTTAGTAGCAGTAAGTTTTAGCAGTGATATTAGCCGAGGCAATTGGCCAGCATGGAAACAAAACTGAACAAAGTAGTTTGGTTCCATCAGCCTTGCCCAGCTATTAGCTATTCATAGCTCCCTCGGGCCTCTCTCCTTCATCACTGAAAGCCCTTTATGCGCTTTGTGGTTTTGTCAGTTGCCCAGTGCTGTGTGTCTGCAGATTTTTTTTTGGTTTCAGCTAGCAATCAGATATTTGTACTTTCAGAGAGGTATTCAGACAAATTTCAAATTCTGAATACAGAATCAAGTGTCTTGGCTTTTTTGTGTATTTGTTTTTATTTGACTGAAGACAATAAAGAAGTTATCTGTGTTTTTGTAGGCAGATCTTTATAAGAGAGTACTTATTTCAACCCTATCTTCTAATCAAGCATACAGTCCATCAAAAATAGCAATTATATTCTGTATTCAGAATTTCACTGTCTTGGCATCTTCTGTACAATTGCATAGATGAGCAGAAATGCGACGCTCATTCCCTTGTTTCAGGAAGTGTCACAGTTGTCAGTGGAGCTTTAGCTCATACAGTTATGTTGAATGAGAGTTTGGAAGAATTGGAGAATGGAACCTGTATTTCACAGATGGGGAAAGCAAGACAGTGATTAAATGATAAGTGAATTCAAGTCTGCTGACACTCATTGCCTGTAGTCATGAGAACAAATTCTAAATTAGTATTTATAGTAGAAAAGTGTCCATGTTAATTATTGCAAATGAGATGGTTGTAACCAGACAAAAGTGAGCTCCAGTAATGGTTTGTGTATTGAGAACAAAGTGTAGACATCTGTGCCTGTCTTCCCTTTAAAACAGCATAACCTTTGAAATCATAGACCATTGTTCCTTACTTTTAAAATGTTGTTTTCTTTTGAAAAAGGATTATGATGTGGAAAAGGTTGCTCAGAAGTCTCATGAAGACCAAGTAGATGCTGGACAAGGAAACCTGCCTAGTACTAGAAAAATATATGAATTCTACAACGCGCCAATTGTCAAGTTCTGGTTTCACACGGTTAGTCATCATACTAGAACTTGGATTGGTAGAACTCTCCTTTGATCCTTCAAATGCCATTTGACTCTGCTTTTACTTTGTCTAGCATAGATTTGCAGCCACTTAGTGGTGGGGGTAGATGGGATGATACTTGAACAATATCCCATCTCTGACAATTAAGTGGAAAGATTTTCTACTAAAATAATGCAACTACATAAAAAAACCCAGGGAAAAAAAATTTATAAGGAACTAAGGTATAACTGAAGCACAGTTTTTTACAGTAGTTAATTGCACATGTGGAGATTGAAGGTGGCCTTAAATACCTTAAATACCTCACAAATATTCATATCCCTTCCTTTAGGGACTGTTTCTGAAGGAGTAAATATTAATCTATAGGAAATCATTTGCTATAGAAAAATACTCATTTATTAAATCAATTTTAGTAAGCCTTTGTCAGTAGAGTGCAGGATGTTTAAGATCAGGCAGCCCATTAAGTCAGACCACCATGAACATAAACTGTTACTCCTTTAACAGGGTGTGTTTAATTGCTTTATAGGTTGTTAATCTATTGTGTCAGATAGCACATTCTTGTACCTTTAAAACAATGTGGTTTTCACTTGACATTGTACTTCCTGTGTTTTGGAAGGCACTGATTAACTAGCAGTGATTGATGTAACTCTGAGAATTCATTCTTGCTCCTACAGAGGGTTGGGATAAAAGCAAAGGACTGTGCAGACCACAGAATAGAATCACAGAATAGTTAAGGTTGGAAGGGACCACTGGAGATCATTTGGTCCAACATCCAAGATAAAATATTCTGTCTCATATTTGGGGCTGGGGCCTTGGGCAACATATTTGTCTTCCACTCCTGTTTTCTCAGCACTAAAGCACCAATTTCCAAATTATGATTAAGGACATTCCCATAAAAGCACAACAAACAAACCAACCAACCAACCAAAACTTGAGAGAACTGGAATAAATATTTTGGACTCAAAAATTTGACAGTGTCCCAATAGTTCGAATACATGTAGTCAACCAAATCACCTGGTACTATATTTGCAGAAATTTGTTGGAGATTTTTGTGCATATGGATTATATACCATGTGTTTTGTAGATGTCATACATGGCATTTCTCATGCTCTTCACTTACACTGTGTTGGTGAAGATGGAACCAAGACCAAGTGTGCAAGAGTGGCTTGTTATCATCTATATTTTCACCACTGCTGTTGAAAAAGTCAGGGAGGTAAGTATTTCTGTTCACACTTCCTATCTGTAGAGACCAGAGAATACCATAATCTGAAGAATGCTGAATCCCACAGTAATTTTGTAGAATATTTAGCAGAGGTAAGAATTATACAGGGAATTTATTTATTAGAAGTCTTGTATTTGAAGACTAGTACTTGGGCCTTAAAAATTCATCGGAAAGTTGGTCCTTAATTCTCTGCTTTTCTGTATAGAGCTGGTGGTAATGTGCAGGTCACTTGAGAGAGACTGTGCTGAATTGAGATTTGGAGCCTCAGTGTAGGCACCTGATTCATAATTCTTTTGAGCGGACCATTAGATTTCTTATAATGAAAATGAAATTTATCTTTAGATATTTAATCTGAGTGTGGACTTTGTTATGAATTAATAGGTGTTATGCATAGAACAGTCTGTGGCTCTCCCTCAAGTCTATTAGACCTTGGGAAACAAAAATGCCATCAGCTTTTAATGCTGGATTCATTGAGCATGGAAAAATGATATTTCAATCAAAATTGATTGAAATTATTTGCAGTTGACTAAATCTGAGCTTTTGAATAGAACTTGCACTCCAAACCTGAGTTTGGGGACAAATGCAGCTATGTACTTCCCAAATTATTATATATGATCTGACATATACTGACTGTAGAATCAGCACATAGTAAACAATGTAAGTTGTTTTATATGACATTTGAAATGCTGTGCTTTCAGAGGAATAAAACTATGTAAAAAACAGCCACAGTTCTGAGTGAAGGATGCTGTTAACACAAATCACTCAGAAGACTGTGACATCAGTATTAGAGACATGAAAGATTTCACAGGGCAGCACAAATGCTGGGAATATATTGAAGTTTGGATAAACTTAAGTTATGCAAGTTATGTGTCTGCATGAGATAGATAGAAAAAATCTGCACCAGGATTTTCTAACTGAGAAATAAGTTGAATGTGAAATAGAAACTACTTTGGAATCACTGTTGTGCTTGCATGGTCTTGATGATGGGACAGTGGAAACAACAGTTCTTCTTTCCAGCATTATTATTCATTGGACAGTTTGAAATCAATGTCTTCTACTTGGTTTTCTTTATCCATGTTCTAGTTCTGGTCCATTAGCAAAGACTTTGTATGACACTGTCTTGCACGTGCAGCGGATTAAGTGCTAAGGACCTTGTTATATATAACCACAAACCTCTGTATGTCTAGATTTTATCAACTAATTGTTAAAGCCTTAGGCCCTGATCCTACAACTAGTTACTCACGGGAGTTAGTGCAGGTCACTTGTTTGCATTAATGTCTTCATATGCATAAATTCTTGCAAGATCAGGGAATAACATTTCAAAATCCCTCCTTTGCTTAGTACTTATTAGTGTGATCTTACATAGCACTGCATAATTACCCTCACTTGTGGCAATGTGCAAAGGTTTTATTTACAGCCTCCCAAAGATTCCACTTAACACATTTGCTCAGTGAAGCTTAAAATCACTTTGGGGCACCTCACAGTTCAAGGAGTGAACATTACATTCTTTACCTTGCTAGTTGCCAGCACTTCTTTTTTTAGTATGTCCTTGGTGGAATACAAGGATCTATCTTTATATTTTCAGTCTGAAATAGAACTCATTAGTTATTTTCCCATCAGCAAGGTTAGGCTGGTACTTTCCATGACTTAGATATTTATGAAAAGGCTGTTGCAGGTCATGACCACATTCTAGAAAATGCTTGTTAATTTATAATTATACACATGCATAACAATTCTACATTGGCTGCTCCTTTCTACTGTGGCATGTTCCCTTTAGTGAATATATTCAGGCTGAAAATCCATTTTGGCTTAGGAATAGCTATCCTATTTGATGTGGAATACTTGAGCAATATGACACTTAAGTGCAAACTTCAGTTGATGGTGAATGGCAATATGCAGTACATGGGCCTAAAACAAAAAAATGTGGTGATAAACTATACATTCCCAAATAGCACGTAATAGTTCAGACAGAAATGGCTAAATAATGTATTTGTGATTTTACTGAAGTTTCATTGGGTTTTTTTTCTGCATTCTACTCAGGTATTTATCTCAGAATCTGGAAAATTTTGCCAAAAAGTGAAGGTGTGGATTTATGAATACTGGAATTTTACTGATTCTATAGCTATCATCCTGTTTATGATTGGGTTTTGTTTGCGCTGGTCCAATAGCTCTGTTCAAACTGCAGGGAGACTACTTTACTGCTTGGATATTATATTTTGGTATACTCGCCTCCTTGATTTTTTTGCTGTGAATCAGCATGCTGGCCCATACCTGACAATGATTGGGAAAATGGTAAGTATTGTTCTTTGGGGCATTATTTTTGTCGTTAAAGCATCTATTCAGGAATATGTAAAACTCAGAAGTGACAGAAAAGAATGATGGTCCAAGGAGAGGTCACGTCATGGTTCATAGTGAATGCATTACCTGAAAATACTATGACTTACTCTGTTCATGAGTTGACCATAATCAGATTTAAATCTTCTCTAATTTATTAATGATATGAATTTATTCACAAAAGCCATTTTTACTTCATTCCTTAGAGAAGGGTTGCATTTGAGTTGATTTTCTGATCCAGCTTGATAACAGGAGAAAGGAAAGTCAGTGCCTCTTTCAGACAGGCTCACTACTATAGATAATTGCCCTAGCTCTTGGAATACTTTTGTTATTATTTTGCATTTTGGTTCAAATAATTATATCTCATTTAGCTGGAAAAATTTCTCTAAGATCAAAGTTATATTTTTTCTCTTTTGGTGTAAGAACTGCTGCCTAGTCTTGAGGGATATGTGCAGATTTGTGCTGTAATTTTCCTCAGTTATTGGGAACTATCTTATTAATACTTCTATATTCTACCTTGCATGGTAATTCTGATTCAGTGTTAGAAGGCAAAATAATTTTCAGTGCTGTTCCTTGCTCTCAGTTTGAAAGAAGCACCACTGAGAAAAATCATCATCATAAGGTCTCTGCATTTTTCAAATCTATCTTAAGAGGGACATGAGAAGCAAGTAGGCGTTGTGGCCTTTTTGGTCCAGGATGATTTTAACCTCTATAAAATGCTCAGGTGGATGACTTAGAAATAAATTATTCTATTTCCTCTGGCATAGTAGATTTTTATCCCTATTTTTTACTGTGATTTATAAAAGCAGTGATTGATACCCTTCCCTAAAATGTCCAACTTTTTTTCTGTATAATTAACACAACTAATTCCTTCATGCAAATATGTCTTTCAGACAGCAAACATGTTTTATATTGTGGTCATGATGGCCATAGTTTTGTTGAGTTTTGGAGTGTCACGAAAGGCAATTCTTTCACCAGAAGAGCCTCCTTCTTGGACTCTGGCACGAGATATTGTATTTCAGCCCTACTGGATGATGTTTGGTGAGGTCTATGCTGGAGAAATAGATGGTAGGTATTTTTCACAATACTGCTCAACAGCTTAAATTTAATGTGTGCAGAAACATGTCCCCTTTGGGCTACTAGAGTTTTGACTACCTATTGAATCTATTCTTTTCAAACAATTCTGATTACTGTATATATATATATGTTCTTAATAAGTAATGCCGTATGAGTTGAGAATATTAGTTTCTTTGCTAAAAAGGAAGCTCTAAAACCTTCAAATTTAGCTTTTCAAATGAATTATATTGCAAATCTCAGAGCATAGCACATAGGAACTAAGACTAAGCTAGTTCGTGGTCAGGAGATGTTGCAGTGAAATGAATTTCTTATTAGTTGCATCCAAAGCTGCTGATCTCTTGAAATAAAGACTACAAATTTGCCTTAAAGGAATAACGAATAAGAGGCGGGGGGAGGAGAAATAAGTTGCCTGACATCATTCTTAAACAGATAAATCATGTGAACATAGCAAAAATAGAACTAATTGATGTAAATAGGGAAAATTGTTTTATCCTGATTATGGCTTTGACCCTGTGTCAGTAAGACAGAAAAATCAAGCACTTCAGGAGGTATTTCAGTATTATAGATGGAAGGCACTCTCATGCTCCTGAGTGATGGATACAAGTAAAAAAGTCCCTAAAATAGAAAAGTAGGTAGGCAAATAGATACATACATTTATGATACATAGTTCAGCATAGACCCCATACATTAAAATAATTTAAGATATTGCATCCATTATTACTACTGAAACAGTCACATGATAACTATGTATTTTGGTTATGTAAGTCATAATTCTTTTAATAAAAGCACACTGTTAAGTTTCACAGTTTAATCTACTTAATAACTTATTAATGCTAAACCTTTAGAAATTCCCAAATAAAGCTGTGATTTCTCTAATGACTCTCTGCAGAATATGTACTGATCTCCTTTTATGATCAGGTGACCGGCTGGTGGATGAGGGGAAGGCTGTGGATGTAGTCTACCTGGACTGCAGCAAAGCCTTTGACACCATCTCCCATAGCATACTCCTGAAAAAGCTGGCAGCCCACGGCTTGGACAGGGACACTCTCTGCTGGGTTAGGAACTGGCTGGATGGTCGGGTCCAGAGAGTGGTGGTGAATGGTGCTGCATGCCGTTGGCGGCCTGTCACTAGTGGTGTTCCCCAGGGGTCAGTGCTGGACCCAGTTCTCTTTAATACTTTATTGATGACTTGGATGGGTGGATTGAGTTCACCATCAGCAAGTTTGCAGATGACACAAAGTTGGGGGGAGTGTGAATCTTCTGGAAGGCAGGAGG